TTCTCGCGTTCCCTTTCTCTTTCTCTCATTCTATCCCTCTCTCATACTCTGATTTCTCTTCAGATTGTATAAATCTTTCGCCTTTTACTATCCCTCTCTGGTCAAATTAAAATAAATAAATGGATAAATAAAGTTACTAATTCTTTTAAAAACAGAATGAATAAAGTAAAAAACACTTTGTAACTAGTAGAGATGATGGCTGTCCAACATTGCAAATGTACTTAATACTACTGGGTTGTTCTCTTTTAAAATAAATGACTGATTTCCCGTGAACTTGGCCTCGGTTAAAACATGCTATTTGTTGAGATTAGTATGTTGTCTTTAATACTATTGGGTTGTTCTCTTTTAAATGACTGATTTCCCGTGAACTTGGCCTCGGTTAAAACATGCTATTTGTTGAGATTAGTATGTTGTCTGGTGTCCTCACCCTTAAATTTTGCATCCAAGTGCCTCCCTGCTTCCAGCCCAGTGTGAGCTGGTGCCACCACTTTGGAGAAGGATCCAGCAGCATTTGGTGGCACAAGTGAAGATGCCCAGACCCCAAGTCTCCCAAGTCTCTTTGGCAGAAGGCGCCAAAAGGTCAAGAACAAGACCGTGGGTGGCATAGAAGCCTCCACAGTGCCCAGGGAGGGGCCAGGTCATCCTCACAGGTACCACAGGGCAATGGATGAAGAGGCAGACAGGGAGATGTCTTTGGAGGCCATAGGGGCCAGTCCCATGTGACACTTTCCCTCCCGCTCCCTTCCCCCACACACCTGAGAGTACCTGACCTGTGCCCTGGAGGACCTGGGGTCCAGGAGCTGTTGTTCACTGGTAGCATTGGCTCCAAGGGACCAGCAGGAGGGAGGGCTGTGATGGGGGAGGCCACAGAGCCGCCAGCCAGAGTGCAGGGAGCCTGTGCTGCCTCTGGTCTAAGTGTGGTCCTATGGCAGGGAGGGATAAGTGGGGAGCAGGCCTTTATCCAAGAGGATCACCTGGGGGTCAGAACCCACAAACTCGGGCTGACAGAGGGAGGGAAGACCCTGCCTAACTGAGGGACCCTCTCAGGGAGCTGCTCAGAGCTGACCCACTGAGCAGCATGTCCTCCAAGGCTAGCTGCAGCCAGATGGCACCAAAGCCCCAGGGCCAGCCAAGCAGGGCCTTTCCTACCCTCTACCCTCTTCCTCCTTTGCCTCCACCGTGAGGGCCAGGGGAAAGGCAAAGGTCAGAGTTGGAGAGAGGAGAGTCAGCGTAGAATGGGGTCAGGGTTTTGGCTGTTACATGGGCCTGAACGTTACCAAAAAAATAAAACTTTTTAAACTAAAGGTGAATGGAGAACTTTCTATCCAACGACGGGAAAGAACTGGCCTCATGAAGTGAGCTGGGGTGGGCGAGGGCGGGCTATAAATTCTTATTCTTAAAACTTGAGTTCTGCTTGCTCAATACACTGTTACATCCATGAGGGGACAGTGGGAGGGGTTTTGTAGCACTCCCTTACACTACAGAATACGGAAGAGCACCTTGACGGCACACAGTAGAGCAGACAATCGCAGCATACCGCCGCCACGTAGTCCTGTGCGCTGTGAAGGGAAGCTGCGCGAACCAGCCTGAGTGGTCCCCACAGTACAATCTGTGAAAGAATACGTGAAACGCAACGGACCGTGGAAAGTTTAGTAACGTGTAAAGCAATGGATCGCTAGGAGACTGGCTCCTGTGTGGTAAACTAAGCAAGAAATAAATAAAAATACTAAGCACTAGACCTGGGTTAATGATTACCCCGGAGGGTGTGGGGACTGCTCTCCTGAGGGCAAACTGAGCCTTCCAACCAGACTGGAAATGTGTTCTACGTATCTTTGGTTGGGTTGTGGACACCCGGCTGGTCTTAATAAAGGTTTCTGTCGTAGACATCCTACAGTTAAAAAGACTCTTCTCTCCTCTCACTCCCCACAGGCTCCCCTATCAGCAGCACCTACCGGGAATTAGAGGTGGCACTCAGTCCCTCTCCCTGGCCTTAGCCATGGGACACAGCCGACCACACCCTGTAGTGTGGCCTCGCCTGAAGGCTTCCGGAGCCCACAGCCCTGTCCTCCTGCTCCTCTCTCTGTCCTGCCCTGCCTTGACGGTTAGGTACTGGAGGACTCCAGGGTCTGTCCACCCCTTCATCTGTGCGTCTTCCACATGGCCTCTGAGTCTCCAGCCCTGACCTGTCCCCTCCTACTCTCATCTGGTTGCCATAACAGCACACCACAGGCTGGGGGGTTTAGACACAACCATCGCTTTCTCGAGGTCTGGAGGCTGCAAATCCAAGAGTACTGGGCAACAGAGGTCAAGTTCTCTGTGAGGGCCAGCTGAGGGGCTGGTGATGCTGCTGCACCCACGTGGGCAAGGTCTGGGTGCACGTCCAGGACCTCGGTGAGTGTATGTGGCAAGGGCCTCCGATGGGCCAGCTGAGGTCGGGATGAACCCCACCCTGGATCTTAGGATGAGGACTCTGTTGGGGTGCCTGCGGCTCTCCCTCTCTCTCTCTCTCCCTCTCCCTCTCTCTCCCTCTCTCTCCCTCTCTCTCTCTCTCTCTTTCTCTCTCTCTCTCTCTCTCTCTCTCTCTCTCCCTCCACACACACAGCAATCTCCCAGTGCCTCCGGATTTCCTTCAGTTTGTATTGGTTTTCCCAAGGTGGGATTCCTGCCAAGGAGAGACTTCTCTGCATGGAGTAGGATGACCTCATTCAGCAGTAACCAGTCCTGGGGCCTACAAGGACCGGGTCAGACTGCCCTGCTAGACCCTTAGTGCCCCGTGACCCCGCTGTCCCTGAGACTCCCTTTACTCCCGTGACCCCCGCTGCTCTCGCGACCCCGTGGCGGTTGGGTCCCGCAGCACGCAAGACAGGCGCCATGTGGGCCGGGCCCGCGCTCCTCCTCCTGGGCCTGGGCTTGGGGCTAGGCCTGGGCCCGGGCCTCCTCCCTCCAAGCCCAGCTCCGGGTGGGGCGCCGGCCTCGCCGCCCGACAACC